AGTGGCATGGGAATGCAATGTGCAGAGGGCAATTGGATGCAGAGGTTTTCCAAGGGTGGAAGGTACATCACTACTAGGGATGAGGGCTTCATGGTTGCAGATGGACGAGGACTAACAAGGGGATAGATGGTGGGGTACATGCCTAGAGGGAATTAGGCTGTAAAAGACTTGAGTGAATACAGTAGTCCTATGGTTGTGGGAAAAAAGTGCTACAAAACACCCAGCTGTAGATGCAGAGACACACCAGCATATATAGGAGTCTTGAAATTGTGGGGGGGGGGGGGGGGGGGGGGGCGGTTGGGATGGAGTGCGAAGGTCAAGTGAGGGGCCATTGATGAGGGGTGCTAGATCTCACAATAAGGTGCTATGAGGTGATTTTTAACTACTAGTACTTAACATGATTTTTTTTCTCTTCAGACATTTTTAATGGGGGTGGGAAGAACCTAGCAATGGGGAACACAATCTTTTTTTGGGTAAGAGGGAGGGCAGGTTGGCTGCAGGTGGAAGTGGGAGTATAATTCATGAAAGCTAATAATCAGTCAAACTACAACTGGGATTACCTCAGTCCCACAACTGGGATTACCTCAGTCCCAGCATGTCACTTCCTGGGTCACACAGCCTTCTAGCCATTAAACTTCCTAGTTTAAATCAGTCACCAAAATTAATATATAAACTCCCAAACAGGTATCCTATTCTTAATTAGGAAGGAACAAATCTACACATAACAACATATTAATGTAATTAAACTATATACATATACTGCAGCAGGAAATATAAAACAGTCGAAGAAGACTGTTTTGAGGAAATTCCTATCGGAAGTAAGGGAAATTATATTACTGATTAAAAAAAATTAACAGTCCTTTTTTTTCGCCTCCCTTTGCTTTTAAGTTGGTGTTTACAGAATTCGAAAAAAAAAAAAAAAAAAAAATGGACAGAGCAAGGATGTGGAATTTAACAGCTTCCTAAATTATAACTCAAAACAATCTAAAAAAGGAAAAGACAATTAAGATAAGAGTTAAGTCTGGCATCATGAACATCAACATAAACATGCAAGGAAGTGTTTAAATCAAACATTTTTTTTCCTCAAATATGTTTTGTTATATTTCTTCAGGTTACAAGTGTATTAAGAAGTATGGGCTCCACCAAGCAAAAGACATATCATCAGAAGAAGAAAATCTAAAAAAATACATTAGTTTTACCAAAATGGAACAATGAATTTATGGAAAAAACAAATACTGCTCAATTAAACTGTGGAATAATCTTCCCCTAGATACTTGCAGTTTATTAAATTCTTTAACATTGCATTCCTTCAAAAATTTAATTTAATATAAAACTTCTTATTGCCTTTTGTGTATACCAATTTTCATAGGGTTTTGTGTATAATTTCTTAATATATATTTTTTTCATATTCATGTTTTAACTGTTAACTGGACCTTAAGGAAGAACAATATCAAATTGATTATTAAGTGTCCAGAATAAAGAAAGATTTCTATCTATCTGTACTAACTATATACTAATGTTCATAACCAAAGCAAACAGCCACATGCACTGTCAGCCTTTATCCCTTTGAATGATCTTTCTATTCCATTTAAAACTCTCCCAGTCTGGATTCAATTTCTGGATCTATCTGTCTAAACAACTGATCTATAACTTATATTCTCCCT